ACCACGTTGCCCTATCGTACATACAGCTCAGCATCAACGAAGATCATTTGAAATTTGTACTACGGGCGACAAGAACGCAATACACCTGGGAAGTGCTCCGAGCAATTTATCAAAGACCGGCCACATCAAAACAGAATGTCATCGCATGAAGAGTGATCAAGCAAAGGGAGCGTTCAAACGATCAGCACACGGCGTAACAAACGAGAATGACTCCTGCAATCACGGTGGCAGCCAGCGAAAGTGGCGCAACCGAGACGAAGTGGCCGAGGGTGAGGTCGCCGGGAGGATGAATGCATGACTGGCGAGAGCAAGGCAACTACGCGAACGATAGTGAGAAAGGCTACAACGAAGATGCATTCAATGTCGAAGTATTCGATCCTGCCGATGAGGAACGCGACATCAATCCTGTTGACAAGAACCACGACGTGGACACCGAGAGCCACGAACACGCGAAGTACGCAGCGACGATCGACGTTGACGAGTGCAACAATGTCCGGCCGCCCGCAAAGCAAGAAGTCGTCATGGACAGTGGAGCCACAGACCGCACGACAGGAAACTTTTATATCCTCCACTGTGTGTGTTATCCCACGCAAAAGACACGTCAGACTCGCGGACAACATATCAACCTTGTTGAACAAATGGGGAACAGAGAATAAAGTCGAAGGATACGAAAAAATAGAACGGGCACCTTCAGCAATGTCCTCCACGTCCCGTCCCTTCGAAACTGCTGTCCATCAGTCGCTGACAGGAAGTTCGGACGACGCGTCGCTCCTGTTCAAACGTGACTACTGCGAACTAAGAGTGAAAGAGAAACTGTCCATCGCTGGAAAGTGGAACATGACATACCACTACTATATGCGCGGAGACATTATCCCTCTTGGAGCCGAGGACGAAGCATTTGCTGCCGTAGCGATAGATACCATGCTCTGGCACTCCAGGATGGGACATATCCCCGCGAAATCTATGGCAGTCACCGGTAAGGCAACGAAGGGCGGACGGGGACAACCAATTACCTGCGAAGATTGCAAACGCGGAAAAGTGAAGAACAACTCAGTCCCGAAGGAAGGCAATAGACCTAACCACAAGTTGGGAAGGTGACTGCAAACTGGATTGTGGGGATCAGCGAAAGTGAAGTCGCCAAACGGATCCGAGTACTTCATCGCCTTTACGGTGGGCTACGTGAGGGTACGATTTCTACAAAACAAGAGTGACACCGGCAAAGCGGGGATACATGCCATGGCTGGAGAGGCAGGCAAGAGTCAAACTCAAGACGCTCCGATCCGACAATTGAGGGGAATTCATCAACAGTGAAGTCAAACTATTTCTCCATGAGCGAGGCATTCACCACGAAACTACCACAGCAAAGCATCCGTGGTAGAGCGGAACGACCGTGCGAATGAACAGAAACCTGGTGGAAATGGCGCAGACAATGATGATTTATTCAAACATCTCGAAGCGTTGAAGGGCTGGTGCCATGTACACAGCCGCCTTTCGTCGCAACCGAGCCCCGAACTCCAAAACCAAGGGTAAAACGCCACATGAGTTGGTCTGAAGATTCATTCCCATAATGCCCAAACTGAAAGTCTTGGGTGCTGTGCTTCCGACACGTTGAGGCGATAGACAAGATGTCCTCACGTGCGAACAAATGCCTATTGAGACGAAGAAGACATACAAAGTGTTTGATCTCGAACACAACAAAGTCGTGATTACCTTGGACTGTTCCTTCTACGAAACGGAATTCTCCAACCGCGATTGGCCCTACGAAATGAAGTAGGCAAACCATCAAACAACTTGAACTCGCTCAACGAAGTTTAAAGTTTGAAGCCCACGACACCGACTCTGATGACAAGGAAGCGGCAGAAAGTGAGCTGTCGCCACAAACTACGCCCCGCAGTACCGACCAGACCACTCGCGCCACCCATCGCATAAGAATTGAACCCATTCCGAGCTTGCGCTCAACGACTTACGCACACTATCCACCGCAGGTCAGGGCCCCGAACGAACTAAAAAGAAACGGACCGGTGATGCCCAGAAGGAAGCCATGCACGAGAGCATGAACCTGTCGTAGCTCCAAGCACGCGCGAAGAAACAACGTATTCCCGCGAAGAAACATCCAACCGTCGCGCCCAATTCTAGAACCCCAGCGATGCGCGATGTAGCAAGCGGCGCGGTCCAAAATACTCGCCGAAGCGCTCGACTCAACGA